TATATTTTACTATCTTTTTTTTGCAATCAGAAGCCTTGCTGGCTGCACCAAGAAAGCCTATGAATCTTTAAAAAAGGCCCGCCGCAGGCACCACTTTTGAGCACATGGATTGTCGCCCAAAAAGTATTGCTTCCGTCAATCCAAAAACATATGTTCAAAAACACTACAACTATGGATTTATTTGTTGATGTTTGTTTATATTCTTAATTTTATATAGTTTTATTCCTTTTGTTCGTTGTATTTTTCACTTTGTATGCTTGTTACTTTTGTTCTTTGTGTTTATCTTTGTTTATCGCACTTTTTGTACTTACGGTTTTTTTTTTTATATGTATTTATATATGTTTACCTTTTCTATTGTTTTTTATTTTGTCAAGTGTTTGTTATTTTTTATCATTGTTTCTTTTCTGCATGTTTTTCTTATTTCCGCAGACATTCCTTAGATTCAAGGCCAGCCCTTGAATTTACGGAATTTCCGCAGAAATACAAACAAAAATTAAGGAATAAAGAAATAAACAACATGTTTCTTTTTAATAACAAATAAAAAATACAAAAAAAAGTAAATGAAAACCAAAAAAAATGTTAAAAAAACATTTAAAGAAAAGACAAAAACATTTCATAGTTGCAATGTCAGTTTTTAAATTGCTTTCAGATTGACAGAAACAATGTTTTTTTGCCGACGATCCAAATGCTCCAAAGTGGCGCTTGCGGCGTGCCTTTTGTTTGATAGTCATAGAGTCATAGGCTGCAAAAAAAGTAAAAAATACATTGAAAATAATCTGGGTTAAAAAAAAAAAACATGAGAAAAAAAAACAAATTTGTTGTGCAGCCCCTTTTTCAGCCAAGGACCCCTTACATGTGATTTGATGCATTGTGCATATTGCATCACCTTATTTGCAGGGGCAGATCTTAAATTCATTTAAATTCAACCCCGCCACCTTGTTTACGAAAGTTAACAGTGTATGTATGTATAATATATATATATATATGTGTATATATATATATACAGTCTATGTATGTATATATATATATATATACATATGGTATATAGTATATACAGTGTGTATACACAGTGTGTATAGGTATATATATATATATAAACGCACTTTATATTTGTTCGTGTATTTGCATCTATGTGTATATGTTTGTGTGCATACACGCCACAACTCCCTTTTGTTAAGAGAAACGAATCTAGCACGCAAACTAATTCAGGCATGGGATTTGTTCCGTTTGATTCCATGACAGATTCAGTTGGTTAGGTCCCACATTCTTCCAGCACCCTGACGAGTGACTTGCGTGTGATTGCACGCATTGAAAATCTCGTGTACTTGCCATGCTAAGTGGCCATGGCCCTTCTTCCGTTTCCAGGCCAAGGAATCCAAATCTCAACACCACGTGTTTTTTTACCACGGCAAGTAGTGCATAACTGTCGTTGGACAAGGTTCTCTGTTTACCTTGTTCTGTCTAGATTCAATTTGCGCATACCTTGAGATTCCATCTACATTCTTGTTTCTGTATCTGAGGCTAATGCAAGACGGAAATCCAAGGAATCCAATCCAACGCTGCTCTACATTCAAGCGAAGGACAAGATGAGTCACTGAATGTGTGTGTGACAGACATAGCGAAACTCTAAATAGCCAAAGTTCCCAGTCAAAGGCTTGGCCAAATGCCTTTCTTGCTTGTCCAGGATGGTGGAAGCCCCGAAGTGGTTGAAACGCTGCCCTACATTCCCACCGAGGACAATGATGACAGATGGCTCTCCAGATAGTTCCATGAAATCCGCAACTTAAACTTGTCAATCAATGCCTTTCTTGCTTGTCCAGGATGGTGGAAGACACGAAGTGGTAGAAACGCTCCCCTACATTCCCACCGAGGACAAAGATGATCTCATAGACAGCTTGACGAAACTGCCACTTGAACCGTTTCGACATGTTTGGGTTTTACATCAAGGGCAAAACTTTTGTCCAGATCGCCATGTTATGGTTTTGTCGAATGCCGTTCTTGTAACTTATTTGTTCAGTCTATAGTATCAAGCCACCCTTGCGTGACAACAGGGCTCAACATGTGCAAACTGGAGCCATGGGAGCAGCGTTTTAGGCTACTGTATCTACTAATATCATCTAGTATCTACTATCAAAAAATATCAAAAATATACATGTCAATATACACACTTACATACACTTACACCATAGTTCAACATCTTTCACGTATTTCTTTATTTAGAATTACGTGGACTTATATGAGACTCACTCAATGACCCTTGTGACCCTTGTGCTGGAGGAGGTCCAAGAACACATCGGATTTCCTCTGGTACCTGGAGCTCTTGCTGACCAGGACAGATTGGAACCGCAAAGCCATTGAGCATAGAAAAGCTGAATGAATAACTAATATATCATGATATATCACTGTTTGAATTCCGACATCCTTGATAGAGATTCGAATCTAGTTTGTCATCCCCGACTCAAACAGTCGCGTCCATTCATCGAACCGGATCTTAGAGTTTAGTTCGAGGGGCATGTCCGCATTAGCAATGAGATGATCATGTTTCCGTGCCATGTATCCGCACCGCAGATGGTAACCCCCTCGTGAAAATGTATCCAACGTATGTCAAAAGGGTCATTTGATTAATCCATGTTTCCTAAGTTTCCTACTGCAAAGTCTCATTCCCAGTTGTTTCTTGCTCTGCCTTAATTTTAATAATTTGTTTGGAGGGCCTGCAGGGGGGTATGTATGTTTGCAAAGTGTCAGGATGGGCACACAAACCAAGAAGGGTTTGACCTGCTGCAGTGAATGCCGTGAGAGTTCCTCGAATTCCTGGCAAAGACTCTGGGAAACCAGTGCGGTCTTCAATGATAATGATGCCCATCCATTGTCCCCTTTCCATTGTTGAAGACATCGCGTTTCATCCTTTATGTAAACGGTATTTCCCTCGACCAGGTCTGCAATGCATAGGGACCTTGGCAGAGCCGGGTCCTCCATTTGGTTTCTTGCCAGTCAGGATCTATGGTCCCAACATGTCCCAACCACGCAGGTGTGGTGATCATCATTTGTCCAACTAAAAGGTGTCTGTAAATTATTGTAAATGTCTATGAATTCGATTATTGAGGTATGCCAAGTATTGGGCAAACCATGGCAAACCATGGCAAACCCATATCATTTGGTGCTCGCTTCAGTCGTGAATTCTGCCTAGATGGCATTACAACTGCCATGTGTGTCAAGCCTTTCACCGAAGATGCGTTGTGGCTCTAAAAAGTTGGCAGATCTGAATTACGTTCATTGTTTGAGAGGATCAAGCACTGTTGACACGGAAATGAACCTGGCTTCAGAAGAAGAAGTTTCCATTTGTCGTCCTTGGACTGGTTGGGCTGGACCCTCGAACTTGGGGACCCCCTAAAGTTCTAAAGCAAGGATTTTTTGTGGAAACCAACATGTTTGCGGATGGCCCGGATGGCCCATCTTCCGCTCTTTGGCTCGATCAGTAAACCATGGACCGATGACGGCACCCTCTGAGGAACGGCTTGATGGCCACTGTGTGACCAGACCCGTAAATGGTTGTTTGCAATTGGCTGATACAAGTGGTGATTTCATGGCAGTTCAACTACTGGTACCAGAGGTGGTTCGCGATATTTTCATGTGTGGACGTGGCTGAGAGCAATTTGCCCAAAATCGGATGGTTTAGTCCTCAAAATGACCAGGCATTGGTCCATGACTGTCAGGATGATGGCGAAGGCGCAGCCGCCAAGGGGCATGCAGCGCTCCTGAAGTTCGCCTCTTCTTCTTCAAAGGCGGTCCTGACAGCTTGCAAAGGGACCAGTTGGATCCCGTTGTTGGTGTTTTTGGGGTCGAATGATTCAATAATGGTTTGGTGGTCAAATACTCAAAAAGTTGGATGAGTCCCTCTTGGTGGAGGATTCGGACGCAACCCTCTGAAATGCTCATTGTGTAGTAGGCGACAGCATAATGATATTGGCAGACATTCGCCACAGGTATTCCAGCAGATTTTGAACACCTGCCCAGTTCCGCATCGGAAGGCAGCAGGGACTTTGTCCGAGGAGGTGACGTTGTCTGAGGAGTTGGAAGGCCGGATTTGGGCACATGCTTGGATTGAATGATGCATTGTGCATAGGTTTTTGTCCTAAGATGACATGTGTCCAAATAATCTCCCATATGGCCAATTCAATCCAATATGCATCAATATTCTATAATGTGTATGTATATATATACATATATGTATTGCATTGATGATTCAATGATGCAATGATAAACCATGATAAATGATAAACGATTAGATTTCAGGGCATCCTAGTTTTGGTCAGACCCGCCAAGATTCAGCAGCCTCAGGCATCATTCGGGGCCTCGCCGAGAACGGGGCCGCCTCTCAGCTGAAGCAGAAACGGGACGGGTCCAACGGGTCCTTAAGCGATCCAATGGGTCCAACGGCGCAGGCTGCATGCTATCCTTGGGACGCGTTAAGGATACTACTCGCTGGCACCTTAGTGGCTGCTGAAAGCCCCACCGAGCCCGGCCCCTGGGCATCCCTGGGCGGCACGTTTTAGGCCGCAAAATTGGAGAAAGTCCTTGCAGACTTTTGGCGGGAAGCACCTGATTTAAAACTTCGTGAAGGTGAGGAGTTCTTGCCGTTTTCACATGTTTTCACACGGAATGTGGCTTGAATCAGCAATTTCCATTGTGTTCCTCTTTTCGTTTCCCATGTTTCCCCATAGTATTTGAATGTGAGTGGTCCAAAAGGCTGAAGGGTTCGAGTCCACTGTGCACAGGTGAAACCTTTGGCGCTGCAGTGGAACCACTGACGCGGTCATTGCTGGAACCACGAAGAGAAGGTCGTTGGCCCAGTGCGGCGTCAAGATGTGGATCAAGCCTTTGGGTACCAAGTGGAGTGGAAAATCTATGTGGTATTGGCATGATTCTGGTATGATGCTGACTACAAATCAGACCCAACCATGACCATCCTGGAGTAGCTAGACTGTGGAAATTCTAAATAATCAAATCGTCGAAAGCTTTGAAATTGGTAAAACCATTTACAGCTAACAGATATACCACGTGAGTTTACTGCATATACCCTCATTTTTGGACAAACCCAAATTTGGACAAACCCAAATCACATTTTTTGTGGATCAAATCCCTATACACTTTGGTTGGTGAAAACCCCATTTTTCATGGTTAAATCAGTTAAATCAGTTAAATCCCCCAGTCACCATCTGGCCTCGCAAGGCGCTCCATGGACCACCCAACGGCTCTGCGAACTGCTGGCAGAACCTCGAAGTGGCTACAAATCAACCAGGACTGGGACCAAAAATCATCACCTGAAACGGGGGTTTCCATAAATGGTGGTACGACAAAATGGATGGTTTATAATGGAAAATCTTATTAAAATTGATGATTTAGGGGTACCCCCCATGTCAGGAAACCCCCAAACGTGATGAAGCGTGGCTTTGTTGATGTTGGCAGAAATCTACACCTCTCTTTTGTATCCACTTGAAGAAATCCAAGCCAATGTGGCAAGGGGTTGAGGTTTTGAGCCAACAGAAGAATGGAAAGAATCAGGACTTAACCAAGAACAATGGGATTGAGCCGCAGGAACTGGACTGTCATGCCACCAAACACGAGGATATCACCCGAAATGGCAATACACCTGCGACAGTTGTGTGACACGATGAAAGTAATAGCGGAGCAATCCAGCAGAGCACACAATGATTCCATTGAAAGTTCCAAGAAGCAAGCAGTTTCCATGCGTTTTTGATGCTAAAAGCTACCAAGTATATGGGAGATCCAGTGAATCAGATTGACAGGAACCACATGCAAGTTTTCCAAGCTAAAAGCATGTTAGAAGTTACCTCCCTACCAGTGGCAGTTAGGATGGAGAATAAATTTGCACCAGTTGTTTTTGTTTATGTTTTTTTAATATATCAGAAATCCACAAGTTCAGAACATGCTATACACTGCTGATGGACCATTGGTCAAAGTGTGTGTGTTTTTGGAAGTTGCATTGTTTATCCGTACTGCAATGATGCAGCAGAAAGAAGTGTGCCAGAAACATCCAAAGAATCTGATGGCACAGCCAGGAAGTACATCTATGCACTTCAAAGAGCTATTTTGATCACCACGACCGAGGAGGTGGATTCAATGGGGCGCCAATTGACCCACAAGACTAACGATTCGTTCTGTCGATGAAACTTGATGGTGTCGAGGATCTGAAGATATCTGAACCCATCCCATTTGAAGATCATTCTGAGTCGTGGAGCATCGTGGAGCCACAGCATGGCAGGCATTGGCTCCCCGTCCTTTAGCGCTGACACCACGGAGTCGTGGTCTCAGCAGAATTCCAGAGCAAAAGCATGGGAAATCCATGGAAAAGTTTGGAAAGGGAGATCTATCAGAGGGGAACACCGTGGAACACTTGAGCATCCCCTGAAAAATCATCGAAATTGGGATGGGGACTTAAACTCGAAGACATCCCCAGTCTCAAATCATGCCCTCGCGCCGACGCCTCTTAGGTTACTTCGAAGGTGCAGCTGGAGCTGAAATGGAGGCCCTCCCACTTCAGCCACATTCAGCCACCCTGATGTCTTTTTTCGTGGTCTTACAATGTCTTACATGTTTTTTTCGAGGCATTGGGATATCTCGTTTTCGCAGCTGTTCCATACCGTGTGATTACGTTCATCTTGATTTCATATGCTTCAATTTCTTGAAAATCGGTTGTTTCCCATTTGATGTGATTTGCTACAGCCAACCAGACACATGTTCAACTGTTCATGCCCTTCCGTCAAAAGCAAGTGGCACCCACTGAAGGGCAGAGCCGAGGGTACAGCCGTCGGAGCGGCAGACGCGGAAGGCGTCTCAACTGTTCGGTGAATCGGCAAATGATATCTTGAAGCTATGACTGGAAATAAACCAAGGGCTGCGTACCACAGGCTTGTCATTCTGTTTGTGTCTTTCTTTGTTGTGTGTTCATGATTTTACTGCGTTTCAGGAACAGTTTTTACAGCAACGCCATGGAAAGAACAATGGTCCACCAGAACGACACGCGTTTCGTTATTCGATTTTGTCATTGTTATTGTTTGCGCAAGCACTTTGAGAATGTTGTGGACATCGCCAATCTAGATCCCTCTCAAAACAGCCCCAGCGTGCAACGGATGAAGGAAAACTCATTTCGACACGATAATACAATATAATACATACATAATGTCTTTGACACAGTTTGACATTGTTTTTGAATACAACAGGAGGAGTCTAGAGTGTCAAAACTAACAAATGGGGGGATATACTATAGCAATCTATAGCAAACATATGCAAGGTCAAGATATGCAGCACAAGTGATTGATCCTGAAACCCATCAAGTCCAGCAACAGCCCTGCTAGGCAAAGTGGCGTTGGACTCAGAGCAAGGGGAGGCCGACCCTGCAGAACCGGGGATGGGAGACCTGCTGAGCTGGGCCAGCAAGTTTGGCCTTAAAAATAATACCAAAAGCTTCAAATAACAACTATACATAAACATACATAAACTGTTACATAATATACATGATATTACATACGTATATATATTTACAAACTGGTAGCGGTTCTCTCTATTCTCACCTTCTACACCTTGATGGTCGCCTCGACCTGCTGCGGATGTCATAGCTCTGCAAAAATTGACCAAACTCCTCTCCGCAGAATTCGCCACTGTCATGCACCAAAGTTCCTGGGGGACCTGCCCATTGAATCCAGTGACGAGTTACCAATAGTGCCATGGTTTCACACTTGGGTCTGTGTTCACGCGGAAAGGCAATTTGATAATTGGAGGCCATATCTATTATCATGTCAAATGTGATAAAAAGGAAAGTTCTGGCCAGATTCATGTGTCCATGTAACGGCATCCATGGCAACAACATCATTGAATTGACGGCTTCCCCCAAGGCGGCTTGGTCTAGCCAATTTTGGCTTCTGGTGCTCGAAACACGCCGGACGGCGCATATCCCGAATCCCTTCTGTCGGATTTGCCTGTGTTCTGGCCTCTTGTCTTGCTGGGCCCTGCGGTGCCTTCCTGGTTGGAGTGGTCGTGGGCGGTTGCCTCGTCTGTTGGTTTGGCTTCTCGTCCTGCGATGGCATCGACCGTGTTACTGCTTCGTCTCGGTCCCGTCGGTTCGTGAGACCTCGGGTCTCTTGTCGTTGGGTTGGTCAACGTAGAGGTATGTGTCCGAGAAAGGGATGGAAATGTCGCTTGTTGTCTCGAGTCAATAGAGGTTCAAAGGTTGCTTCTCGTCAATGAACTGTTTCTCCCTCTTCCAAGTTCACTCCCTTGAATGGTCTCTGCAGAGGCGGCGGGGGAAGTCACACTGAACAAGACTTGTTGAAAGGGTTGCAGGAATTGCTCCAGAAATTCAACACTTCCAATGATAAACCTGGCGGCCTTGATAGCAAGGGTAAAGGTAAACCTACCACTGACCATACCGGTAAGGGTAAGGTAAACCTCCTTCTGCTTCGGGTTTGGGTGACAGTTTTGGTCCCAAAAAGTTTCTAAGGGGTCCGATGGAGTGTCGGGACATGACTCTCCAAAAGCCTGTTGCGTCACTTGGTGTACTGAGACTCAGATGGCTGAACCTCGAAACTTAGACCAGGTTCACAAAATCACCAAGGCCTACGCGTTGGTATGTTCAGTTGCTAAGGGTAAGACTGAGCCTCCACTTGAAAATGCTTCTGAGCCTCCACTTGAAAATGCTTCCAAGCATCTGCTGCCAGCAAACGATGCGCGGGTTTGGGAGAGTTTTGGGCTTACCCCTTAGCGAATCATTACCCTCAACTTCCTAGCTGCTCTACTTCGTCTCCTGCTCCGAAGGTGGAGCGTGCCTTGGCAACACTTAGAGTTCAGGTACCACAGCGCATGCTCCAGCCAGATGGATGGCGCAATGTGGTTCGTAGTCCTGCGGCTACCTTGAGGACAGCTATTCCCCCGACAGTTTATCACAGCACCTTTAGGTGGGCACAAGTTGGCCAGAAAACCAAATACGGTGGTGAGGAAACAGTGTTGGAGGGGTATGTGAAAGTGGACAAACAATGAGTTTTTGACATCCTACATAAGTCCGGGTCCAAGGGTCTTTTCCTGTCTCAAACTTCAAGGGATAACCCTAACCCCCCCGAAAGTTTCTTGGGTTTATCGTGTTGCCAGCGAATCAGACTTTCAATATATGGCACGAGTCCAGCAGATTGCTTTCGCCAAGCAAGCTCCCCTCAAGTTTAGAGTTGGGGGAGGAGCCTGTCTGGGTCTGGTTGGGATTGACTCAGGTGATGAGAAGCCACGTTTGTGGCAAGTAACAAATGTGCCCTCTAAGTGGGCGGCGCAGGATGTGGTGAGATGTTTGGAGGGAGCTGGCTGTGAGGACGGCCTGCTAAAGGCCTACCTTGGATGGTTCTCTCCAAAGTTAAAGTTCAAATAGAATTCCAAAACGTTCAGGTCTTTGGGATTGAGAGCAACGGTCTTTACTTGACGCTTAGCAAGCCACCCCCGAAACAGTCCATAACTGGAAAGAAATCTGTGCCGGCAGGTAGTTGGCAGCACAAAGACTCTCCGCCTGTTGTGACTGCGGATGTTGAAACTGCAAGAACTGAAGTCACACAAGGGAACGACCTGTTGTTGCGACTGGGAAAAAAACACAAACCCGAAATTCAACTCCTCTGCCTTTTGAAGTTGTGGACTGTGGGGGTGCAGGAAACTGTGGCTACTGCGATGATGCTGAGCAAAAATGTTCCTCTTGCGGAGGCCAGGAACCAGGTTGAGGCTGCAACCAAACTTTGCAGGCAGATGTGTACACGCACCTACTAAGGCACTGTGAGGATTACGACCCCCTCTGGACTGCAAACGACCAAGAAACTGAGGTCACGGCCGGGGGTGCGATCCCTGAAAATTTTCAGGATTGGGCCGAGTCGGTCAAAAGGGACG